GGGCCTCCAGACTTTCCAAACATATTTGGGGCAACGTTCTGAAAGCTAAGGCAAAGGTACAAGGTGCCAAGGATGAGGAAGAAAAATGAGAAACTGAAAAGGGAAGAAAGGAGAAATGCAACATTATACTAAATTTTCCTCTTGAAGCAAGTTTGTGTAATCTAGTTCTGGCCAAATTATCTGTAAAATATAGTTCAAGAAAAAATTATTAGAAAATATCCTTGCTTTAAGAGAAGAAATGTTCACTTTTTCTGTTTTTTTAATGCTTATCTTTTTAAAAAATTTATTGTGTGTGTGTGTGTGTGTGTGTGTGTGTGTGTGTGTGTGTGTGTGTGTATGTGAGCATGTGGGTATGTGGGTATGTACACATGAATACAGTGTTCATGGAGGTCAGAAGAGAGTTTTGGATCCCGTGAACCCAAAGTTACAGGTAGTTGTGAGCCACCCAATGTGAGTGCTGAGAACAGAACTCAGGTCTTCTGTAAGAGCCATCTTTCTGGTCCTTTTAATCTTACCTTTTAAAAGTTTGTCTGAAACTCAGTTTAGAATCCCTGTAGTGTTTAACTGGCAGTAGGCATCTGTCTTTGTTTTGACATGAAGAACTTTAGTACTCTGTACCCAAGTCATTAGTGTACAAGGACAATAAAACTGGAGTCTATTCTCAAATGGATTTATCTATCTATCTATCTAGCTATCTATCTATCTATCTATCTAGTTATTTATTTATTTTTATTTTAAAGAATGAGTCTTTAGATATTTGTGGATATGATCCAGATATGGTAAAAGTTGACTTCGGTAGTGTGAGGCACCAAAGGCTACCAGCTGTTTGCTCAGTCCTGTGATGGACTTTATCATGCTCAGGTGTTCTAACTGAACAGCAATGGAGAATGAAGGAATGGCCAGAGAATGACTTAATTCTTTATGCTCTTTTCTATGCCCCACCAACTCCTAGGTTCTTTTTTGTCACCAAAAACATCATCTTTGTATATCAATACTTACCAATGTTTCTGAAAGTTCTCTGTTTATATTTACAGTAACAGTTTATCTTTAAAAATCTATAATTTTAATGGTAAAATGACTATAGCTGCATGCAGTTCCTAATATCATCAAGCTGATGGTTACATGGATGAGGAATATCATAACGAAGTCCTAGATACAGCAGTGTGATGGTTTCTATTTCATAATTATGTCTTTATTTTCTGTACTTTTAACTATGATGTACTAGAGCAAAGCATTCATTATGAAAGAAAGCATTTACTGTAAAGAAAGCAGAAATCAATACAAGAAATTTGGTCCCTTTTGTTTGGCCTATCCTATCGTAACTTGCCTGTTTTGATCTCAACAACTTGTACCTTCTAATAAAATCATTTTGTACATTTCAAATATACACAACAAAATTAAAAAAAACAAAACAAAAAGCAATAACCAACTTCTTTGCCATAAAATAACACAGAAGTCCTGATCAGCCTTGCAATGAACGAGAAACTTTGTGGTCATTTTTCTTTCTTCAGTGAAGAGAAGCAACTACTTCAAATCTGTTCTGGCAGATTCATTTTTAGCTTTATACTTTATGTTACTTTCATTTCTTATTTGAAAAACTATATGATAGTTAGATCCAAGAGTAGCTAAAAATATTTAAAAGATGGTCAGAAAAAATGAGCATTCATAGAGCTGAAATGTAATTCTTTAATCACCTACTTACATGCTTTTGTGTACCTCAACTTTTAGTTGTGTATTTTACTTTAATTAGCAAGCATTTAAGACAATTTACATGTTGCTTCACTAGGATCATAACTGGTTCTGATATTTGCATAAATTCTATCAAAATAAAATAAGGTTTTAAAGTGTCACAGTGACTTACTCTAGATAGATTCTCATTTTAGAGATTTTTTGAATATATAGTGGTAAATACTATATTGGTAAGTGTGTACAGAGGGCTTTAGAATTTTATTACAAAATTATTTTGGGATTTCTCAGACAAGTGATGCCTAACTCTAAGGATTTAATAAGCAGGCATGTATTCCATTGATAAAGTTTCCTTACAACAAGAATAAGAGTTTAACTAGGATTTCAAATGTATTTCATTCTCTTACTTCTAAAATTATTTTGAAAGAAAATTGTTTGTAAAGGGATGCAGTCAACATGCCACTACTTGAGAAGACATTGAGACTAACAGATTTCTTGCCATAAAGCCACTAAAGAGTGGTCTAGTGGCTGGTTTTAGAAACAGGGTGAGTTTCCCCACTGGAGCCTGAGGGGCTATCAGGACCTAGCTGCTATGTATTGAGAAAACTGTTCCCAGGTTGAACAAGAAGACATGTAGGAGCCAACTGTAGTAGAATACAGGTGACATAGTCCTTACCTGAAATGCATGGAATCGGAAGTGCTTCAGATCACAGCCTTCATATTGATTTAGAGTATCTGAATCCTCTGTGTATACAGGGAGCTATCTTAAGCATGGGACCAAAGAAAACTGAACTGCTGTTACTTTATATATACCTAGTTGAAAGTAATTTTATATACACTTTCAAATGTTTTAATTCACAGAACACAGTTGAATGGTGTAGGGTTTTCCACTTGTGCTTTCACGTTGGTGCTCAGAAAGTTGTAGATTTTGGAATATTTTGAATTTTGTTTCTTCTTTTTTCAAGTAGGGATATTTTGCCTATAGTTGAAAGGAAGGATAAGGCCACTTGCTCCGTGGTGTTAAATTAGTTAAGCCTTTAAAATTATTTTTATTTTTAAAATATTTCTAGTTGAAATAAAATTATGTCACTTTATGTGTTCCCCTTCCTTCCCCCGGGCCCTTCCACTCACCCACCCTCAAACTCCTTGTTCTACTCTGAAGCTGGTAGCCTCTTTTCCTTTTATATGTAACATATGTGTGTGTGTGTGTGTGTGTGTGTGTGTGTGTGTGTGTGTGTGTGTGTATGTGTGTGTGTGTACATACATATATACATCTCATATAGACATCTATATGTATGTATGTGTGCGCACAAATATATAAACCCAACCTGATGAGTCAATATTTTACTTGGATATGGTTTCAAGGTTGATAGCTTTGCATTGAATAACCAATCTAGGGACTTATCCTTAATGGAGAGTAATTCTTCTCCCACTAGTTAGCAGTTGCTGTAGTTCTTTATCTAAGGGTGGGGCCCTGTGAACTTTTTCCTTTCCACAATTATGTATTCATTGATATTGTAATTGTTCTGGTCTTGTTTACAAAGACATTTCTAGAAAAAGACTTTTTATACTAGACTTCCTGGTATCCAAGAGCCATATATATGGCTCTAGCAACCTTTTTGACTCGTGGTGATCCTTGAGTAGGAGGGATACAGGAGCTGTTGATGTAAATGTATCTATTGGGCTTGAATGGTCCACAATTTGTTGATCTCTGCATTGTAACCCAGTTGAGGTTTTCTGTGATGGTCTCTGTTTTATGTAAAGGGAGACATTTTTGCTGAAGGATGGCAGCTACCCTTATTTGTGGGTATAATGATGAGATCTAGAGTGTAGTAAAGAATTATATTTGTCTAGAAAAGTGGCAGTCGTAGGTTCTTCTAAGGTTCATAACCTCACTAGCCCCGGGGAGGCTGGCTAGGTTTCCAGGACCAGACCTGATTCCCCTCCTGTTGAGTGGCTCTTAAATCCCATTTGACAACTGTTGTTGGCACTGACATGTGAATGACACGTATTACACCTTCATGCATATTTTGCCATGCTGGTAATTGTCATGATTTCTAAGTGTGCAACTGCATAGGACTGTTAATTGCTTTTTTTCCCTTGACAGATTGCATAATATTTTCTGGAACCATGGAAGATAGACTGTATGAAAGAGGCTTTCAGGTCAGACTCAGCTCAAATAATTTGAGTCTTGTTGCCTAAATGTGCAGCATGTTCAGCATTAGGGACCCACCCCAACCCCTGAGAGGCAACCAAGAGCTACATCTATAATGTATATTGGAATCACTTAGTAAGTAGAGAAATACAAAATAAAATATCCAATATTTCATCTCACCCCAGTCAGAATAGCTAAGGTCAACAAGAGACAACAAATGTTGGTGAGGTTGTGGAAAAAGAGGAGCTCTCATTCCCTGTTAGTGGGTATGCACTTTGGTTCATACACTCTGGAAATCAGAATGGAGAATCTTCAGAAACTAAAACTAAATCTGCCATATGACCCAGCTATACCACTCCTTGACACATGACCAAAGGATTTGGCATCCTCCTTCAGATGGTTGCTCAACAATGTTACTAGCCACTCTATTAACAATAGGTAGGAAATGGAAACTACCTGAATGTCTTTCAACACATGAATGGATAGTGAAACTGTGATTAACATACAAAATGCAATACTATTCAGTTGTAAAAAATGAAATTTTAAGGTAAATGGATGGACCAGGAAAATATTATATTGAGTGGTGTGAACCAGACCCAGAAAGACAAAAGTCTAGTGTCTCTCTCATCTGGCATTTATAGAAAGCTAAGCCTTTATTCTATTTCCTTGTCCCATCTGTCAGTCAGTCATTGATGTTGACACTTGATATTTGAAAAGAATTATTTTGTCCTCCTTTATTTTAGATTAAAACTTTCTACATTTTACAATATGGCGGTATGTATGAATTTAAACAATGAACTTCTTGGGACTTTCACTTGTTCTAAACATTAGGAGAGTATAATTTATTATGTTTAAAACATGAGACTAACAAAGGTTAGGATTTCCTTTTATTTTGACTATGCCATTCTTTTGAGGTTATTTTTCAACAACGAGAATGAGTGAATAGTTTGCTATAAGGACAACATTCCTAGCAAGAAGGATATAATTATCACTCTACCATCACATGGCAACATAATTACAGAAAGGCCATATTTTCCTTTTGAACGTAAAACATTTAAACATGTGTTAGAGGTGGTAGGTTTTGCATACTGATTCATGGAATTTAATCTCTGGTTCTTGGTTCATTCATTATATGACAAATTTATTAATCATCCTTCAGTTTACCTCAGAATAACAATGCAATTTTGCTTATCAAACACTGTTTAATCTCCAAAATCTATATCTTGTTTTTATTAAAGGTAGGCTAGAGCCAATTCCTTTTGTAAAGATATAAAGTAGCTTGTGAATTTTAACTACATGTGGACATTGCTGTAAGATTTGGTCCCTCAGGGTTCTAAGCGCCTCTTGAACTTTTTTAACTTGTTGCAAACATAAAAACTGCCTTTTTCTTTCTCCCTTGTTGTTGCTAAGAAAACAAGTATAGGTGGATAAAATGAAAAAATTATGAGCCAGAATTATGGCACACAGCCATATAACCCCAAATGCTCAGGAGGCTGAGAAAGAACAATCCCAAGTTCCAGGTCAGCTAGGTGAACTTAGCAAGACCTTGTTCAAACATACATTGACTGAGAATGTAACTTAGAAGTAGCAGTATTTGCTTCATGGACAAGACCTTGGGTTTAGTTCCTAAAATTGTTCCTACAGTCATACATACAAATGAATCTGAAAAGGCAAAAATTTTCAACTGTATGAGAAGTTGTTTTCAAAATTTGGCATTTAGTGACAGAGTGGTCTTTCAACCCTGCTAAGCAAGAGTTTATTTTCTTTTAACTTGTCCTTGCTAAGGCATCTGAGGATATAAGAAGGAAAATGGAAGCATAGTTACGGCCAGTTATCTATGAGATAAGATGAGATTTGGGGAGGCAACTTAGCTGTTACAGAATTTGTATCTTATGTAAGAGAAAAAAAACCTTATTGATTTAAACACAGTAGGAGATTCTGTCTTCTGAATGGAATTAAAGTGCCTATAATCAATGCTGAGGACTTAGTAAACCTTCAAATCCAGTGGTAATAAATTTTGCCTTTACTGTTTTTTTTTCCCTTTTCTTAGTTATAGATTATACAACTTGTCACAAAACATTCCTGAAACACGATGCAAGAAGAAGAATAGTTCGCTGTAAGGCAGTCATCAAACTTTCGTCCCTCAGAGGCCTCATGTCACTATCTTTCTCACCGTTTGCACCAAATATTGGAGAGACCAAAGTGTGGAAGAAGAAATAAGTGTTTGCATACTGATTAATTCTCTGCAATGCGAGTGTTGGATTTGAAGCACTCCTTTTCTGGGAGCTTTTTTGAGTTTAATGGAGCACTCCAGACAGTATTAACCTTCCTTTTGCTTCCATGTTGCTTGACTGCAGATTTTAGGGCACCCCCACTTATACCTAATGTACCTTTCCTCTGGGCCTGGAATGCCCCAACTGAAGCTTGTCTCACCAAGTTTAATGAGCCACTAGATCTTAGTTTGTTCTCTTTAGTAGGAAGTCCCAAAAAAACTGCCACGGGTCAGCCTGTCACAATATTTTACACTGATCGACTTGGCCTCTATCCTCATATAGATGATGCACAAACAAGTATTCATGGAGGGATACCCCAGTTGGGATCTCTAAAAAGTCATTTGACAAAATCTAAGAGTGACATTGAGCATTACATGCCAATAGACAACGTGGGCTTGGCTATCATTGACTGGGAAGACTGGAGGCCCACCTGGTCAAGAAACTGGAAACCCAAGGATATTTACAGGAATAAGTCTATTGAATTGGTCCACCAACAAAATAAACAACTTAATTTAACAGAAGTCACCAGGAGGGCCAAAAAAGAATTTGAACATGCAGCAAGAAATTTTATGGAAGAGACTTTAAAATTGGGGAAATCACTTCGGCCAAATCACTTATGGGGTTTTTATCTTTTTCCTGATTGTTATAACAATAAATTTCAAGACCCCAACTACAATGGACATTGCCCTGATATAGAAAAGAAAAGAAACGATGCTCTCTCCTGGATATGGAAGGAAAGCACAGCGCTTTACCCATCTATATATTTGAAAAGTGACTTGAAGTCATCTCCACAGGCAGCACTCTATGTCAGAAATCGGGTCCGAGAGGCCATTAGGGTGTCCAAGACAAGGGACCCTCATAATCCAGTTCCTGTTTTTGTATATTCTCGCATTGTGTTTATTGATCTGACTTCCCAATACCTGTATCAGGTAAGTAAAACAAGCACGGCAGCTAAGAGATCATTTTTACAAACTGCGCTGAACGGAATTTTATGTTTTCAAAGGGTGAAATTTGGTATTTAATATTTATGAATATGTACATCAAGAAAGTGCTGTTTGTAATGGAGGCAAAATGAGAACACTTTAAATCATTTAAAATGAACAACAAAATTTTTGGTGTGGGTGAGGGTTCATTCACCTCAAGTGTCATTCCTTTATGTCTCCCTTGATTTTTGAATCAGATCCTCTTTCTGTGACCTGAAGTTTGCCTGTTAGGTTAGTCTACCTGGCTAGTGAGCCCCAGAGATCTGCCTGACTGCCTCCCAGCACTGGCTTAGAAAACTGGCAAGCTTGCCTTTCCATGCCCCATTCCTTTTTTTAGAGCATGGGTCCTAGGGGTGGGGCTTGGGTCCTCATGCTTACACAGAATCCACTTTACCAACCAATCTATCTCCCCAGCCCAGCACTTGAATCCTGATTTTAATCCTATGAGATGCTAGTATCCATGAATAATTATATGTAGTATAGACTATACCTTAACTGTTCCTCTTTTTTATTTAATGAATGTGTTCTTTTGCCAGAAGAAGTAATTAAAGCAATGATAGTCTCCATTTTAAAACAGTAACAAAATGCTTGTGTAGAGTGTATAAAGAGTATAGAAATATTTAAATTGTTGGGTCATCATGTTTAACTTTGGTATTACTGTCAAATGTTTAATACTTTCACTTCATCCCCATGGGATAACTCTTTCTTCCTGTCATATTTTCTAGGATGACCTTGTGAATACAATTGGTGAAACAGTTGCTCTGGGTGCCTCTGGAATGGTAATGTGGGGAACGCTTGGTTTAGCACGAAGTATGGTAAGTTGAATTAGTAGGAAATAGATGAAGATATTTCTATAGTTTTAATGTTTGAATAATCATGCATATATATGCATATATATATATATATGTATATACACACACAGCAAAGTGCTGTCATAAATGTTTCCCATTTTCCCTTCCACTGACACAATAGGCCCAATGCATAATGAACAAGGTGGGAAATGTAGGATCAAGCTGTGGAGGAGGGTCATGCAGAGTGTTTTGCAGTCCTGGCTCTCTGAAAAAGATTGAAATATTGTGTGTGTGTGTGTGTGTGTGTGTGTGTGTGTGTGTGTGTGTATGTGTGTGTGGTGTGTGTGTGTGTGTGTGTGTGTGTGTGTGTGTGTGTGTGTGTGTACCAGGAAAGAGAGTAGATGGTAAGCCACTGGGCTTTCACCTGTAGAGTTCCTCAAATAACATGGCCTCCTCACCTTGAGTGTAGAGATCTACCAAGCATGATCTAGCTACCCCTTACTTTTGTCATCCTTATCAATAAGAGTTACAGGGACAAACAGTGTGGGTTAGAGTGTTATGAGAGAGTGGGGCAAGTCTCCTGTCACCTCAGAGGACTTAAGGGTCAGCAGTAGAGGGTCCCGGGAGGTCTTATCCCCTTAGCCTCTCTTGTTCAGATGGGCACATCAAGGGCAGGAAGAAGGCATTCTTAGCTGTCACCTCCCAAGAGAAGGCTGACCCTGTACAGTCTCAGTACAGCATTTTGTGTGTTTGGTTGTTTTGGGCAGGAGGGGATTTCCTGTCTAATGCAAGTGGGTACAGGTCTCAAGTACTGACTTGTAATAAGATTCTGTCTCTTCCTCTATTTGAAGGAACACATTTCACTGTAATGTCTGTGAATAAAAAATAGACACAGGTTGATGTTCTACCATGTCTCTGAAGGATCTTCAGTATGATTCACTCAGAGACAGCTTTCAACTTTGATGGCACTGCTTTCTATTTAAGGCGCTATCTTAACATTATCTCTTGTGAACTCTTTCAATGTGTTTCTGCTAAATTTCCCCAATCCATGATCACTTTAATTTTATCTTTGTTATTCATCTTTTCTGATCTGTATTTCCATGAATCACCTGTCACGTTTCCTCTGATTTCCAAGAACTTGAGAAACTGGTGACTGCACAGTTTTGTGTTTGTTGGCAGATGCTAGAACTGAATTAAAGCAAGTATAAAGAAAACTGTTTCCCTCCACTCGGCTTTATCAGATCCAATGATGTGATGAAGCCAGTTCTACCAGTCTGACCTTATGAGACTTGATTGTTTATTGTTCAGGAATTTGTGAGTTGTTAACCATAGCCAATATCAAAAGTAAAATTATAGGAAGATACAGTATATTAGATGAAAAGATATAAAATTAATGTTAAAACAATAACTAATATAAATTAAATATAAACATGTTTTCATAATAAAAATAAAAGTAATAGCTAATACTCAAAATATTCCAGTTGTTCCTTTGTGTTCACTTCAGTGTACAAGGTTGGGTGGATCTAGCTGTTAGGTATATGTAGGTGGATACATCCTAGAATGGATACTACCCACGTCACATGTTTATGCTGTGTAATGGTGGTATGCTCAGTTCCCAACTCTGCATTCAATACTGTTAGATTGGTAACTTGAAGCTGGCTAATGTGGCTGTATTTACATTATATCTCTTATACAGCCAGTTTAAATCTTTCCATAGAGTACATATAAGGTGATCCTCGAATCATACTCATCCCACTTATCTATCTTTTGGCTAACCTTTGTCTCTGAATGCATCTGCAACATCACTTGAACTTGGTATAACTTTTCATATATTTGGCGCTGAGAATATAGCATTAAAGAATACTGACAATCTGTGCACACTTGAAACTGGAGGAGACCAAGGAAACAAAACCCTGTAAATCAACGTGATCAAACCTCATATGAACTCACAGAGACTGAAACAGTATTCACAGGGCCTGTACGGGTCTGTACCAGGTCCTCTGCATATATATTATGACTTACAGTTTAGTGTTTTTGTGGGATTCGTAAGTGTGCAAATGAGTGGGTCTCGTGCCTTCTCTTGGGCTTGTTTCCTTCTGTTGGTTTGTTCTTTCCAATATCAATGTGATAATTTTTGGTTTTGCTTATTATATTTTATTTTGTTATATTTTAACACTATCTTTTGGGAGACTCTTCTTTTCTAATGTGAGACAGAAAGGGAGTGGAGCCAGGTAGGAGGGGAATTGGGGAGAAACTGGGAGGAGTAGAGGAAGGAAAAACTGTAATCAGGATGCATTTTCTGAGAAAAGCATCTATTTTCAATAAAATGGAAAATTAAATAAAAATAAAAATAAATAAAAACAGTGCTTTTGGGACACTAAAAAAGAAAATGTGCTTGAAGAAAATATTTGATATTAGAAGTGCTTTACTGGCAATTAGTATATGCATGTGAGTCCTACCATATAATATATTTTGATAATATATTTCCCTCCCCTAACTTCTCCCAGATCCTCTCACTTCCTTACCCATCCAACTTCATAATTTTTCTTACTCTCTCCTCCTCCCTTTCCCACCCCCTCCCTCTCCTTCCCCTACCTCTCTCAAACTAAAAACAAAAAGCAAAAAAAAAAAAAAATCAAAACTAACAAACTAAAACCTAATAAGATACAACGAATACAAAAACAACCCAAAATGTAACATATAGCATTCCTCCAGCACACACACGCTGATTGGAGTCGGTTTGTGTTGGTCAACTCCTGAGCATCAGGCTTGCCTAGGAGTAACTTTTGAAGGAAGAAACAACAGTATGTAATATTGAATCTTTGGAGTAGATCAGAATGTCATGTCTTTATCTAGGGCTAGAGAGAAGGTCCCTCCTCAATGACCTTTATGGATCTTATAACATTCCCTCCTTGAATAGGGATCTTAAATCATGTAGGAGATAACCTGAAATTAGGGAATGTATAATAAACCATTTCCACATGGAAGGGATTGGTGTATGGGCTAGAGTTTCAGTCATATCCTAATGGGTAGCAGGTTGTTGTTGTTCTTCTCCTCCTCCTCCTTCTCTTCTTCCTCCTCCTTTCTTCTAATGAAAATAAAGTCTTTTTCGTACAATAAATTCCTGATCATGGTTTCTCCTCCCTCATCTCCCATACCCTCCTCACTACCTCACCCTTCCAACTCCATGCCTTCTTTCTCTCTCTTAAGAAAGCAAACAGGCAAATAAAATAGACAAAGGTAAAGCAAAAATAAACTAAGAAAGAACATAGACAGACCCTATGCATGCTGCCAGTCTCTGTGAGTTCCTATGTGTGTAAGTCCTATTGTGTTTTAATGACACTGTTTTCTTGGTATCATTCATCTCCTCTGGCTTTTATCTGCTGCCTCTTTCTCATAATTCCCTGAGCCCTGTAGTGAGGGATTTGATAAAGACATCCCGTCAATAGAAGTCCAATGCACTATCCATTGCGCCACAGAGCCACTTAAGATTGAGTGTTAAAAGATGGTTACAAGATGTTTCACTCTGTTCACATTGTCCAGTTGTGGATCTTTTTGCTAGTTCCCATCTAGTACAGAAGAAAGCTTCTCTAATTATGATGGAGTGAGACACTGATCTATGAGTATAGCAGAATATCATTAGGAGTCATTTTATTGTTATGTTCCTTTAGCAGAATAGTAGTATTTGATGTTCCCCTAGGTCTATGGACTATCCAGTTTCAAATTCTTGGCCCCTTGAACAGTGTCAGGCATAGGTTCCATCTCATGGAATGGGCCTTATATCTTGTCAGACAGTGGTTATTTCCGCAGTGTTTAATATCACTATTGCACCATAACACATAGCTTCTAAGCAGAGTGTTCCTTTAGAGGAATTAACAAGGAATTAGGAACCAGAACTATTACGGAATTCTATAACTCCAGCAAAGATTCCTAAGCTGCCTAATCAGTTTTTATTGGCAGTCCTCATTTATACCAGTATTAAGATGCTCAACACTTAAACTCTGCAAAATTTGCCAAAGGACTGACTGTCATGAATACCCAATTATGCAATATATAAACTATGCAGGTTGAAGCCATTTGTTTTGAGCCATCACTTTGGGAACTATTTTTGATGCTGTTTAAATTTGTCTGACAATTATAATTTTTACTATGATTTTTATGGTTAATTGAAGAAATCATAGGCCTCATGTTAAGCATGTATATATGTATCTTTCTTTTTGTCTTTAGAATAGTCCCATGTATCAGACTTTAAAAACATCCTTATCTTACAGGTGATAAAACTCAAGCATAATCTTATCAATTAATTCAATTAATAAATTTGACTTGGGGTCATCCAAATAGGAAACTAAAACTTACAAGGTTTGATATATTCCCAAGTCATACAGAAGGTTATTTATGAAGGCGTTAACTCCAACTTTCTGAGCAAGTGAGATTCAAAGCCCATATTCTAAAAGCTGAAACATTCTATCCCTTAGATTAATTCTTTAATAATTGTGGAAGTTCAAGGATAAATTGTGCCTCAATTAAATAATTATTCAGTGCCATGAAATGGCACACAAAACTCAGGAACGTTTTGTAAATAATTGGTTAAAATATATTGCTTGTTAAAGTGAAAAAGAGTACTTCCTAAGAATGTGGTGTGTCTGTTGCTTTGTTTTCTAAGAGTTGCTTGATGCAGTATATTGTCACATAGAACTTATGCCTTGATATTCTATCTTATGACTTTACAGAAATCTTGTTTGAACTTACGTGATTATTTGGAGAACATACTGAATCCTTACTTAATCAACGTCACCCTGGCAGCCAAAATGTGTAGCCAAACACTTTGCCGGGGTCAAGGCATGTGTTCGAGAAAAGACTGGAATTCAGATGACTATCTTCACTTGAGCCCCCAAAATTTTCAGATTCAATTTGTGAAAAGTGGAAAGTATGAAATCCGTGGCAGTCCAACCTTTGATGACTTACAGTACTTTTCCAAAAACTTCCGTTGTAACTGTTATGCCAACCTGAACTGCAAGGAGAGAGATGACATGGAAAGTGTGAACACTATCAGTGTGTGTGCTGTTGAAGACGTTTGCATTAATTCCTTTGTAATTGAAGAACCTAGCGCTCTACCTGTCAACTGGAAACGCCCTAATTTTGCTAATAGCAGTCAGTCAGATATTATATCATCTGCCACAAGAGGTCCATGTGTGCTGAGGAAAGATGTCAGTGGGTATCTCTTTATTCTCTCTATCTACTCACAGCATTTGAAATATTTGCTATAGGTTTTTCGATCACTCAAAAATTGGACATCATCATTCAAAAACAATTCTATAGAAATAATAAAGATTCTACTTTGAATTTCAGAGACAAAATATATTCTTATATCAAAAACTGAGTGCAAGGCTATCATAGTTACAGGATTAACAGTCTGAGAAGAGTGGAGATTAAATAAAATCAAGTTTCTAAAATGAATGTCTTTTAGTAATTTGTTTTTAGTAATTTGCTGTTGGGTAAAATTTAGTAATGTTTTAGTAATTTATCATTGGTTAAAATCTTCAAGAAAATGAAAATTTATATCTTTTAAAATGGAAGTGCTCTAACCTGCCATAACTGTAATTTTTAGCTATTGTATCTTGAAAAATATTTATATTTAGGCTTTATGGAAAAGTAAACTTTAAAAAATGATAATCTTATTTTTATATGACTTACTATATTTTTAAAAACTCATATTTTAAAATATTCAAATTAATTTTTTATTTCTGATTGCCAAGTTTAATTTGTGTACCTAAAATGGCTTTTTTTTTTTAAATCTAAGCACTTACTTGTATATTAACCTGCATCATAAAGCATGTATTGAGTTTTACTTCTTTCGGGCTTGGTATTCAATGTCACTAAATCCTTGTGAAGCAGCATATTTCTTTCCTTCAGTGAGTCTGTTGTATGTTTGAAATGAAATAAATGAATGTTGAGAATGACAACATAGTGTGTTTTCAGTGCTATAGTGTGTTTACAGTGCTCTGGCTTGCACATAAGAAGCTGAGAGGTCAGAATGTCCTGAAAGGAATGAGTGAACGTTTTTGAAAGGATGAGTACAAGTTAGTATGAGAGAGAAAAACTTCAGATGGAGGAAAAACTGAGCATGCTTGCTAGAAGAACACAGAGTAGAAAATGATCAAATGATGTAATGTTTGAGACCCAAACTGAGAAGTCAGGACTTTACAGTGAAGACACTCCAACATCTCTAAGCCTGCCCCGTTTTTCTTCACTCACCCACATGATGTGTCTATATTTCTATACTTATTATAGTCCTGTAATATATACACAATGAGGACAGTTATTTGGTGACTTGTATTATAAATGTCTCTAGTATGTGACAACAAACCTCTGGGACTTAGGATGAGTCCACTGAATAATTGTTGAGTACAAAATATGAGGACTCAGCACAAGGTTTTGACCTTGGAGATGGTCATAGGCACTTTAAACCTTAAGATCTAGGGTCAAAGCTTGCTTTCCCTTAAACTGTGTCTTTCACACTCCAACCCTGTTAAGATTTTTGTCAAAGCTATGTCTTCAAAAGTTAGTCATTGAAAAGAAATGATCTGATAACGTTCTGAAATAGATGCAATATGTGGGCTACCTTACAGAGATGAGTGTCATAATAACTAAGGTTCAGGAGTTAGAAAGGAGGTCGCAAAAATTGAAGAGATTTTGTAACTGAGCAATTTGAAAAACAAAATCCAAATTCCACGGAGAGAGGTAACCAGGTTCAGCATAGGCTTCCACAATTCCAGTTAAGATTTACTTTTTAAGGTCTTGAAAAGATTGAGTGATATGATACATTAAAAACAGTTGACTTTAAACATAGTTCAGTAAAGATCTGCAAGGAAATGGGTATGTTTTGTTGATCATGGAAACACTCTCACATTGGTATTGGGGGATGGAATGTTGAAACAAACTTACCTACCTTGAAAGGTCTTTCACGGTTATGCACCTGATAAAAAATATGCCAAGTTGAAAATTAGTCTCACTGGTAATATTTTGCATAAAATATAACTTTGTTTATGATGATGTTTACAGAAGCAAATTGCATTTCCATTTCCATCAAATATATTTTTATCAAGTATCACATTAATATTTGAGTTACATAGAAAATGATAGGGAGTTTCTGCTCATCTTCATTGATAGAGCCATAAATAGCAATGTCCATGGAATATGGTACAAATATATACAGTTAAATTGCAGAGGTGAAAAAAACAGACGTTCACCCAATTAATCAACAGAGCATTAAAAATAATAAAGTAACGGGCTTCCTACTGACTCAGTATTAGTTTGCCTGCATGCAGACTACCTTTAAACATCAGGTTTCATACAAAACATTCTCCCTGACAGGGAGGGAAAGAGTTTTCTTCAGGAATGTGACCCTGGAGAGGCTATCCATGATCCAATACATGATTCTACAGCCATGTACATTCAGGCAGTATTGAATGGAATCGAGTTTTTTTTTTTCCACAAGAAGGTGAGAATTAAAAGTGATAATAATGGGTTTATGGAGGGAAATTGGAAGGAAGAGAATGAAGGTTGTGCTTGATCAAAACATTTTATGGAGGTATGACATCCTCAACAAAAAAACGATGTGTTTTTTAGAAAGGAGTTAGATATTTACTGAGCTGTAATCGACACACAAAAAGGGATGATTTTCTACAAACAAATCACAAGGGTCAGGTTATATAGCTCAGTAGCAGACTACTTTGCTAGGGTCTTTAAATTTCTGAGTTAAGTTCCAGATACCATAAAGACAAAAAAGGAAGAAAAGAAGGATGGGAGAGAGAAAGAAAAGACAAAAGACACAAAGAAGAAAGGAAGGAAAGAAAGAAGAATAACCTTGGAAGTGAATTTTGGGTGTGAATATGAGAGGCTGGTGTGTGTGTGTGTGTGTGTTCACTTAGGATAATTGCTAGGTTCTAAACACATGCAAATACTGTGCTAACCTTATGATGCCTAATTGAAAAATCATAGTCATTAGAAAATATAGTACATAATGAAGAGGAAAAGGCCATAACAGAAATTCTTGCAAAATAATGATTTGCATTTGGCAATGAAGTAATAAATTTCTGAAAATTTCTGTATCAGTACCTGGCAAACTAATAGTGTTCTTTAGCATCTAATCTACTTGTAAGGAAGTGAACAAACAGAAATACAATAAAGAGTGATGAGGACATTTGAAAACATCTGATTCCCAGGCTGTATCTTGTCTACTTGACACCTAGGTACTTTTAATGAAGGCCAAACTGTGAGCTTGATATTGTACAACATAGTGCCATGAAGCCTGAAAAGATTTTGATGTGTGCTGAGTATAACTGCAATTGATTGAAAGCAGATTGGGTTAGTTTCTGATTCTGTTGATCAGATACTATGGGTTAATTATTTCTCCTTGGTCAGATGAGCATTTGTTTAGATACACATCATAGAAACATCAGACTTTGGAAACACTCTGTCATCTTCTGTTTCTCTAGGTGCATATTAGAAATAGTTTCCTACCTACATTTTTGCCTGGTGGATTCATAGTAGTGGAAAAACAATGTTTTTATCTTCATTAATATTTGTTTCTTATCAAGGTTATTCTGTAGTGATTCTATATATTAGTTGAAAGGAACAATATGTGCATTTTGTGCATATGTTTGTGTGTGTATGTGTGTGTGTGTGTGTGTGTGTGTGTGTGTGTTACATGCATGTTTGTACAAATGTGTGCATGTGTAACAGGTGTTAGTGGTCATCTAGGGATTGCCAAGCTTGTTACCAGGGAAGAACAAAGAATTGAATGTCAGAGAAAGACAGAAAGAAGTCCAAGTTTCAAGAACAGTGAAAGTAATAACTTTATTCCTTCTGGATAGGATGTTCTGCTCTGGCTTGGATATTTAATAGGGCACATGGGTCTGCCCCTTCCCCTACCTGTCCTGTTTATATACTGGCCCCTGTACCTTTCTGCTGTTCCTTCTCACATTTTGGTAATATGTTCTGGGAACATGAAGCCACCATGTCAGGGAGCTTGCTTTTGTATTCCTTGTCTACCTTTATACCTCTAATTCTCCTTCACCTGCACACTTACTTGCAGGTGTGTGTGTAGGCCAGAAATCAATACTGCTGCTTTCAGTTGCTTCTCTATTTTATTTTCTGAGACAGTGTATCTCACTAAAGCAGGAGCTCACTTTGGGGATATGTTGTCTAGCCATCAAGCCCCCAAGATCCACCTATGTCTGACTCCCATTGCTTGGGTTACAGTTATATTGCTTGGGTTATAGATACATGTCATCACACGCAGCTTCTCCATGAGCTCTAGGGCTCAGAACTCATATGTTCACACTTACACAGGAAGTACTTCACTCACTTAGTCATCCCAAAGCCTCAATATGTGCACTTAAAAGTCTGTCTTTATATTAGTGAACTAGCAGATAGTAATAAACTCTATCTGAAAAGGTAATTTTAGAAAATTAATTCTAAATTTCTTTATCCTGTGAACACTGGTTTCCTTTGAACTTGATACCTGTTCTAGTTAGGGCTATTATTGCTATGATGGAATACCATGACCAAAAGCAAGTGGGAGAAGAAAGGGCTTATTGGCTTATACTTCCACATCATAGTCCATCACTGAAGGAATTCAGGAAAGGAAATCCAGCAGGATTGGAACCTAGAGGCAGGAATTGATGCAGAGGCCGTAGAAGGGTGCTGTTTACTTGTTTGCTCCAAAACCCCAAAAGATCTCTGTAGCATAAATCTTAAAGTGTCTTTATTAATGAAACAAACCCGGAGCCAAGTATTGGGGTGAACACTGGAAGATCAGAGAGACAGAACAAGCCACAGCTAACCTCACCTGGCCAACTTCTCTGATGGTCTTGTTTCCTCAGACTGGAAGCTTCTGTGTCCTCATCCCAATGGCTCTCAGCTGAACTGCTGCTCAAAAGCCTAAAAGTTTAACCAGGCCAAATGCTTAACCAGCCAAATGCTTCTAGTTTCTGGTCCTCACGCCTTACATATCTTTCTGCTTTCTATCGTCACTCCCTGGGATTAAAGGCGTGAGTCACCATGCTTGGCTGTATCCTTGAACACATGGATTTCTGCCTCTGGAATGCCAGGATTAAAGGCGTGTGCTACCACTGCCTAACTTCTATGTTTAATATCGTGGCTGTTCTGTCTCTGACCCCAGATAAGTTTATTAGGGTGCACAATATTTTGGGGAACACAATACCACCACAGATCTCTTCTGTGATTCATCCATAGGGGCCTCCCCAAGGCTGCAAACAT